TTTCACTTTCACTTTTATTTTCTTTAGTATTTGTTATTATTTTACTATGTTACCATTCGATTTTCAATTGCTTCTCTCTTTCCTTTCTTCTTTATCCTGACCCTGTTATCCTTCACGGCTGTGCTCCGTACGCCACCTTAATTATTGTTTTCCGGCTGTATCCGGAACGCCCTAAAAGGAAACAAAAAGAGCGAAAAACAAGAAAGCAGAAAGGAAAAAGGGAAAAATAAAATAAAATAAAATAAATACAAATCGGACTTAAAAAAAAAATCTCCATAATTTGGAAATATTGTTTCTTACCTATTCTGGGGACAACAGCTTCACTTATATTTTTATTTTTATTTTTTTAATTCATTGTCTCTCTCTCTTTTCTTGTATTTTATTTTATTTTATTTATTTGTTTTTGTTTTCCAAATTATGATCGTGTAGGGCAACCTCAGGCCGTGCCAGGGAATTTTTGAAGATCGTCTTCTTTCATGGTCTCACTTATTGCAACCAATGAACGCAGCGATTCGGAAGCAAAGTCAAATTACACTCCGGAAAATCACTCGGACCATGCTAACTTAAGCTGCGAGATTATACTAGATAACCTCGACGATTGATCCACCCTGGGTCTCGAGTCATATATTGTACCGCGTATCAGTCGACGCTAGGCCAAGGATGGAGCGTTTCTTACGTATGGTTGAAGCCCCTACTTGCCGTTTAAGAAAATAATGATAGGAACTTAAACCAAGCTAGTGATGGGACGGCGCTGAGCAACCCGTTCTTCGCCACACGTTCTCGGGCGCTAGCTAGGCTATTATTTCCGACCGTTTTACAGCCAGCGACTGCCTCTGGGGGTAGGTGATCGCGAAAATTAAGGTTGGATAAAGCTCCTTTCATCGTGGGTTTGAAGTTGAACAGCCACTTGTCAGGGCACCGGCATCCATCTGCCATTGCTGTCGGTCCCGGCCGAAGATTTAAGGAGACACCTACTAAAAAAAAAAAAACAAAAAGACCAGGCTAGTCTAGGATTCAACCAAACGTGGGCGGGGAAGACCGTTTACCATGACTTGCGCCTTTTTGCGTGATGTCTACCCTGGAGTGTGAACAGAAAGAAAAAAAAAAAAAAAAAAAAAAAAAAAAAAAAAAAAAAAAAAAAAAAAAAAAAAAAAAAAAAGGGAAAAAAATTTATCAAATTCCTGGAAAACAACTGTTGGGAAAAGACCATTCATCCCTGTTCATCCAAGCAAGTTGGTATTGGTACTCCGTATGTACCATCAAACAACTCCGGGTTCCCACTCCAGTTCAAGGCGATGGAGAGAGAGTATTTAGGGCCAGGATCGTTCTCCAGCGACTCGACTTGAGAAGGCTTGGTTGGATTTCCGTGAAGCCTACAGTGGATGGCCCACCAAACAGCAGACTAGCACGGTCCGCTAGCCATCCTTCCCTCGTGGATGTCTCGCTGGGACTGCTCACGCTCGTCCATTAGCGTATCACTGAGTGGAGATGATGCGACGACGTACGACAGCCCTGGTCCTGAATCCTGACAGGGGGGGGTGGAGGAGAGGGAGGTCGAAGAGGATCGATTTCCTGAGCTAGTTGCAGCACACTGACAGGGCTTCTAGACGGCCGGGTTTGTTTCCCTTGACCCGATAACCTGCTTCCTTCCACTTGACCACTTCCGTATACTACAACGCATCCTATACTCCAAGTTAACTTTAACTCATGCTTAGGATCTGCTACATACGTCCGAACTGGTCGTGGGAGCTCCCCGCTTTCGTTGATCATCTTCTTGTTTGTATGGGATCCCCAAGAGCGCGGGTGCTCTAACCGCACAGTGTGAGACTCTTTGTTAGCTTAGTGTTTCATCCCGGCCATTCCTGGGTGCCCTATCTTTCTTTCTCCACGACTCGGTCATGCCTTGGCACTCTGCTAGACGGCTCGGTGAGTCGCAACCGGTGATCTAGCAACTCACCATGTTGGCGTACTCGATGACCGTTGTCCCTTCTGGGTCGGCTCTGCAGGCTAAGCTTGACTGGAACGCAGGTCCGTCAAATGAGTGACCTGAAGTGATTTGATTTTTTGAGGGGATTTTTATTTTCTGACTTGGATTATTTTCGGGTTGGAATGATTTTATTTTATTTATTTTTTTTAATTAGTTCCCAGAATTTCTAATTTGATTTTTTTGTAATCTGGAGATTTGTATTTTATTTTTACCCTTTTTACCCACCTGCATCTTGCTCCATCTGGCCGTATACTTCGGCTGTCTCGCTCAAATCCGAAATACTACCTACGTTGGCTTTTCCTTTTTTTCTTTTCTTTTCTTCTCCCATTTGTTGTTATCTTCCAGAACGTTTCCTCGACCGTCCACTATCGATACTTGTTATATATCCTACAACCTATCATCGTGAAATCCTGGTGCGCACGTAGACTGGGGGAGAGCATCCAGATTTGTTGTGACATTCGTTATCCCACAATTCCTTTACCTGACGCTTCTGCATTATCAAGCAACGGGGGCCCACGGGTGACAAGCCGTTTGGAGAATTCTAGTTGCTGATCATCTTTCTTGGACAAAGTACCTAAAATCCTTTACTACTCAGATCTGGCAAAGTCGATTTTCTCGTTTCCTGGACGTCCTGCACCGGTTGAAGAACGGGAGCCTGTTGGAAGCGGTCTAGCTCGAGAAACCGTCGCATCCCCTGGTGAGCGCAATCTAATCCATCCCCTTTACTCAGCGTCGGTACAAGGCGACCGTATAGGTCGTCTTCGTCGCTCCCCTCTTCTAAATGAATCTGACATTCCCCTCTTCCTCCCTATCGTGATCCCAAACCGACCCCAGTTATGCCCCAATTCTAGACCCCGTGCGTGTCTCTGACTCTGGAACAGCTTCGGGCCTTGTAAACTTGGCTAGTACTTAGCAAAAGCATGAGGCTTGGGTACTTTTGAGCAAGGTCTTTTGTATACTGCATGGGGAGAGGGTGTGCTTTTTTGTTTTGGTCCCACGCCTCCAGAATCAGCCCACGGCATCCCCTTCAAATATCGGTCCCAGTCCCTTTGTCACTCTTTCGGCGAAGTGTCATCGATCCGCGTTGACACCTCCGCATCCCGCTTAGGCGTACTTCCTTTTTTTTCTTTTTTCTTTTTTTCTTTTATAAACCGTGATCAGATAGCCTGCCAGGGCTTTTATGCTCTAGCAGCGCTGATGTATGTCTGCGACGCTGGCGGATCCATATCGAGACTATGCCATTGATTACGCTCAACATGCCAGCTGCAAGCCCGAGGAACATACAAGCACGCTTGTTTACCACACGCATCAGCCACAACTGCAACATCAGAAGCCGCCAGAGTCTCCTTTCCAGCAAGGAAGTTCGCGCAGCACGGCATTTGAGCACCATCATGCAAACGCGACCGTTCTCCCAACGGCGAATCACCAACCGACAGTCCATGGACTCTCCCAACAAGTCGTTCTCACCCCGGCCCAAATGCTTTCACGGCAGCTGCCAGTACAATATACACCGACCAGCTTCGAAATCCCGTCATTACAGCGGAGTAAAAAGCGGCACCATTCCGAAACTGACGCAGAGGGCGATGACGCAAATCATGGGATCAGGCCACAGTTATCGATTCTCCCATCAGAATCATCTGCTGAACCGACGCACCACTCACCCGAGATGCTCTTCTCGGTTCACGGGGACGCTGGGCAACATCATCAGATGCAAGGCCACGACCTTGGATCGCAGGATTCGGTGGCCCTCCCACAGCATCACCACCACCATCGTCTCCCCCCACACGCGTCATTACGCGACCCCCAGCGCCATGGTATGAATATGGAATCATCCCCGTTTCCTTCTGGCCCGCCAAGTGTTGTGGGCCAGCCTGGGATGCCCGATCCAGCGCCCAGGCCACGGGGGCCCAAGCTCAAGTTTACGCCGGAAGAGGACGCTTTGCTGGTAGAACTGAAGGAGAACAAAAACCTAACATGGAAACAAATCGCCGATTTTTTCCCGGGTCGAACAAGTGGTACATTGCAAGTCCGGTACTGCACCAAGTTGAAGGCTAAGGATGTGGCATGGAGCGATGAAATGGTGCGCATTTCCAATCCCATATCCGTACTACACCAGTAGACAGGACACACTAACTTTTTGTGGACAGGTCCAACGGCTACAGCGTGCGATGCAGGAGTACGAGAACGATCGCTGGCGTATCATTGCGGGGAAAGTTGGCAATGGCTTCACACCAGCAGCTTGTCGAGAGAGGGCTTCTCAGCTGGAGAACCCTCCATGATAGTTACGAGTGGATGTGCTTGCCCTTTAGCGCCGGCGTACGCTCCCCTAATATCCACTTTGTTACGTCTTATTCATTACCCTTTTTCGTTTCTTGGTAGGCTGTAATGGGGAATTTGGATGGCCACGGTTTAGCTCTATACCAGACAACTCGGTGTAAGGTAGAGGGATATTGTATGTATCATATCCATTTAGCGATGCCCAACATGAATAGTAATTTCATTTGTTTTATCCAAGCTGCCACCCGGTGCTTCCGTCCGAGTACCAATGGGTCAAAATGTCATTGAGCTCCCTCTGCGTGAGAGAAGCACGAAGTAGTCTCTGGTGATAAACATCAGATGATGTAGATGCCAGAACCCTAAGCCCTATCAGGCGTCGAATCGGGCAAGTAGTGCCCAAGTGGTCAGTCCGGGCCGCCGTAGCAGCTCCGCAACCAATCAATCCGCACTGCTGACTATTCGCCCGACCACGGGCCGAAGCGGCTTCAAACTCACCTCAAACCTCCAAACTCCCTCTGCTCCAAACGTCCTCACCTCCCTCCTCCGCCGTTATAAGCCCAATTCACCAGGACAATGTTCCTCCAACGCACAGCCTTCGCCCTTGCGCGGCGCGCTCCCATCAGGGCCGTCGCTGCCCGCCCTTTCTCCTCCTCCGTCATCCGCTGTACGTGAGCCCAATGTCAAATTCAAGACCGCCTCTTGAGAGCCTTCGTCGCAGTCACCACCCTTCCTGTGACCCCATTGGGTCCTGGAAATGGGATTTGTCCACCGTCAAGGCAGTCTTATCGATGCAGTAGCTAACATTGAGTCTCTAACTGCAGCCAACAAGGCGAAGTACGCTGTTGAGAAGGATGGCAAGATCCTTTCTTTCGAAGGTTGGTTGCCAGACATGTTGTCATACGATCGGCAAATGCCCGTCTATAGCCGTTTTCCCAATCCGTGTGCTCTTGTAGTTACGGATTATGTCATTGGAGTGACCCTCCATTCGCAGACCAATCTTCTCTTCAACATCTTGATTCACCACCCACTACGCTTTGGCAAACAATGCTGACCGGTTCGTTTCCACAACAGAGATCAAGACCGAGGAGGACCTCGTCCCCCCCGGTGCTAAGGCCGGTTCCGTTCCCTCCGACCTCGAGCAGGCCACTGGTCTCGAGCGTCTTGAACTCGTCGGAAAGATGCAGGGCATTGACATCTTCGACATGAGGCCTCTCGATGCCTCCCGGAAGGGTACGCTCCCTTTTAATCCTACGAATTTTTCGGTGGTCTACACGCGTGTGCATTTAAATGGGACCACTGCGATGGTATACATGCAGACGAGCCATGACTGACACGCAATGTCTTACAGGAACTCTCGAGAACCCCATCATCGTCAACGGTGCTGGTGACGAGCAGTACGCTGGTTGCACTGGTTTCCCTGCTGACTCCCACACCGTCAACTGGCTGACCGTAAGTCTTTGTATTGCCATTGAGTGGCATGCACGGTATCCGCGCATGGAACGCTAATTGAATCGATTCAGGTCTCTCGTGACCGCCCCATCGAGCGCTGCGGCGAGTGCGGCAACGTCGTCAAGCTGAACTACATCGGACCCTTGGAGGACGCCCATGACCGTAAGTCTCCTATACTTGTTGAAGCTCTCTCCAATTTGCCCCCCTGCTCACTCAATCCTTCCAGACGATCACGGCCACGGCCACGGCCACCCCGCTCCCGAGGAGCCCAAGACTTTCGCCGACTACGTCAAGCCTGAGTACTGGTACCGGTAGATATTTGACACAATAATAGCGCAGTCATCTTTTCGCCTCGAGGTGAAAAGAATGGAGGATTTATGAAAAAGAGAGAAGGAGGTGGCTGTATCAATCCGGCATTTGTCTCTTGTAGAATAGTTGAGTTGAAAGAAGTGATTGGTGTCTAATTGATTATTGGTTTTTTTTTTCGCTCTTTTTTATCTACATTTTCTAACAGGGCTAGCTCGAAACTCTGCCCATGGTTTATCTGCGAACCAGACAAAGAGTATCAATGACATGACTCGAGATCGGGTGGCATGATGCGGTAAACCCGGGAAATTTACGTATCTCGGTCATCATTATCACGTGGCAATCATCCTTCCCGGCCAATGTCCATGATTGTAATATCCACTTACCCATGTCGTACCCGGAACTGGGATAATAAACATTTTTACTTGTCTCACATGTATGATTACACTACTGCTGCTAATATCAAGAATTGAGATTAAGGGAGTGAGAGACAGCCAACGGAAGTAGAGTATATGTCACAGATACAGTATATAGTTTTATATTGGAGGCTGATAGATGCCCAGAATGGAGATTGACTGGGAAAATAAATGATTGTGTGGTTTCCAAGGGAAATGAATGACATTATGCTCAGACTGTTGCTTTTGGTGAGATTAACTGGAGATGACGTTTTGGTCGTTTGATTCCTATTGGCTCAGGACGACGTTTATATGAAGCAGGGGGGCAGTGTATGTGTGTATACGCCCTTTAAGACACGAGTCGAAAGTAAGCGGTTGATTGGAGGTGTTCCGGATAAGCTTAGACAGTTACCGGCCCAACATGCGCAGCTCGACATACCGTAATGGCGGGTACACGAGCCCAGCCCAGGTGAATCCGACGTAGTTACCCATCTATCCACGATTAGATGTGTTCTTTGAGGTTGGCTAAGGTAGTGGGGAGAGCAATGCATCACTTACATCTGCGCCATATTCACCCACTAATCTGGAAAGAGGACCAATATACCAGACTTGCGCCATGCACAAGATTGCGCCGACCCAACCGACTACGAAGGCGACAAATGCGGCTATGCCCACAGGTAGCTTTGAGGGGTCATTCCACACACTCCAGTTATACCCAGTTCGAAATCGGAAAATGAACCGCTCTTCGAGAATGATAGCGATCCATATTGCGACCCAGTAGCCCATAAGAGCGAGGAAATTGGTGAAGATGTCGGAAAGGTTGCTACGACCAACTAAGGCGCAGACCGTGTAGATTATAACGCCGATAGTGTTCCATATAGCTCTCGGGACCTTCTCGGCGTATCGTCCAAGGACCTGGAAGTCGACACCGGCGGAGTAGGTCGGTGGGATGGTATTTGCAATAAGTCCTAGCGCAACAACCACAGAGCAGAACTTGCCGAACCCATGCAGAGGCCCGAATCCTTCGACGATAAGCGCTCCTGCACCCCTAGAGTATGCTGCGCCGTACTCTGGATGACTTGAAATACCAGAGGCAAGTCCGATACCGACAAGAAACGCCATAGTGAATGATACAATAAGGCCTACCAATGAAAGAGAGAAGAGTGTCACTCGGGAGGTTCTCTCAGGGTAATAGACGAAGAAGTCGCCCGCCAATGGGGCATAGGTAATCGCAGCACTGAGACAGATGGAGAAAAACGACAATCTAATGACACAAGATTGTATTAGCTATTGCCTCAGCAACATAGCAAAAGTCATGGAGGCGTACCGGTTCCCAGCAAGTGTGCGAGGATCTCCAGAAGAAGGCGTCGACAGATCAAACTTTGATGAAGACACAGCGTAGAGTATAGAGACTACGATAATCTGGGGAAGGAACGCGAAGCTTGACGCAGTCAGTACCCGACTAAACTTATTAAGGGCATTCACACGCACCGTTCGTAGTAATGGAAGACCTGATAGCCGAACGTGGCTATCACCCAACAACTGACTGCGATGATCACAATGCCTACCATTGGATCAGCACCTGTAATTCAAGTTCTCAACACCATGACAACCTACCAACAGCTACCGACATGTCCCCATTTGGTGACACGGCAGACAAGATCTGCCCGCATACTACGCAATCAATTAAGCAGTACCCAAGCATTTGGATCAGATTCAGAATGACGACAATCTTGCTCGGCCACCACCCCATCGTATAGCGTCCGAATGCCTGAATCATGTTAGCATACAGCAAAATAGTCGGATTAGCCTGTGAAAAGCCCACCATAGTCCGGACGCCGGAGACTGGCCCCCATGTAGCCATCCATGCGGCAACTAATGCGCCAACGAGAGCACCCAGAACCGCACAGAGTGCCGAATCCAGGAAGCTCAAGCCATATACAACGGGGCCCAGCATTCCTAGGGTGATGTTGTTGGCTGCCAAATTGATTGAGACCCAGAGCAAGAACGCTTGAAGGTACGAGACCCAAGTCAACCTTTTCATCCGTTCATGTTGCTGTACCCTTTCAATACCACGGGCTTCCAGGTTGTATTCAATCAGTTGGTTTTCAAACCTCTTGACATAGGCAGCAATGCGTGGCGATAAGAAAGGGCCGTCCGCCGCATCGCGACCCTCTCCATCATACTCTTGGGGCGGGTGATCAGTGAAGGCATTTTTTGACGGTTCCTTTTCGGATTTTACCCCTAGGGCAGGCAGAGGACGCTCTGAGGACATGCTGTTACTATCCAGTCAGTATCAACCCATGTAGAGCGTCGGAGTTAAGAAAGCGCGCATGAGTCCTTTCGCTGGAATTATCCAGATCAAGTTCAACCGTATATTCTCAGAACGACAACTGCCACCACATCGTCTGCGCCCACATTTTGAGGACAGCAAGCCAAGAGACACGCGAGTCATGGCCGGGCATATTGCAACAGATTTGTGTATGACAGCGTTGCCGAACACCGGTCTTCATGCAGGCGTATTACCTAGATACCTTGATCGACAGACAAAACCACGCTACTTGTCTTCATGATAGCCATCCCTTGCATAGAGATCCTGTGATAAGACGGGAGAGTTGTACTCGTAACAATTGCTTTTTGTTTCCTCCACCGACTTGGTTCAATCCGTTTGCAACTACGACTTGAAGACTCAGAAAGTTAGCCAATCGAATTCTCAATTGTATTCGACGGAAAGCTTTTCCTCGAAAAGGTGTAATGAGGTTCACCTGGGAAAGTATATAAAAGACCCTGTCGCGATACGGGGAAAGCTAGTCAGCGTTATGAATGCTTCGCGAACAAGACAACTGGAGTAAAGAAGTGGCAAAGGGGATGTCACTTTTTTTTATTTTCAGAAGGAGGAAAGATTTATCCCCACTTTCTTGCCGCGGGGAAGTCATTTCTTCGGTTCTCCGCTCCGATAGCGGATTCCGCCAATGATAAAGCTACACCCGTTGTTGACGTACCTTTGAATCATGGAGAATTCAACATACGTCCAATGACATAGGTACGGAACTTATGGAGCTGGGCGCATCAACTGGTTTATCGCCGACTACAGATGGGTTAGGCAGAATAACTACAGTCGACATTGGGAGAAGCACTGATGGGCCGGTCTATCTGCGCTTCTTCTTCAAGGCTTGGATATGACGCAGGTTCATCGCATTGGTTTAGAGGACTATCATGGAGTGTGAATCAATAGTTGTAAACGATAAGGGGGGTATACCAAATGTAAACGAAGAGAAGAGTAGAACTAAGCGAAAGGACAGTACGGCAAACTCCAAGCACTTCGCCAAGCATTGTGCAAATTGTTGTCAAATAAAAAAGAAGAAACAAAAGAACATGCATTGCTGTTGCGCGAATCCAGTTCCCCAGCAGCATGAACGAACGGTTCAGATATCCCATGCACTGATAATCATGTCTTCGTCAAATTCCGTCGAGCGTCTAGAGGTCCTTAAAGTGCTCTTTCGCATACTGTTCACATGCCTGTATCCATGTCAATAATTGGACTCGGTTGAGAATCTCTGGAGCTCTCACCTTGGCCGGTTTTCCAACTTTTTGTCCGATGACTTTCCATTTGCTCGCCTCATATTCCTTGATTGCCTCGCGGAGCGCCATGGACTGCATGCTGTCAGACGCAGTATGGTAATAGAGACCTTCCTCGAAGCGCTATAATTTACCTCGTCTTCATCAAATTCGGCATAGTGCATATCCTAATTAGGAATGTTAGCCACTGGAAAATGACACGATCCAGGAAAATGGCTGCCACGCTACCTTATACCAGTGCTTCTTAACACTCCCTTCAGTTCGAAAAGGGAATGTCTAAGCGTTTCGATTAGTAACGCATCCGTGGCCATGGATGGGACCCGACAGCACCTTAGCAATCTCACTCCAGCTGCGACCAGCATCGCGCATTGTCTTTAGCCGTTGCTCTTCCTCCGCAGTCCACGGAGTGTTGGTCCTTCCCTTTTTCTTGGGGGGAGCTTCTGGTGCTCCTGGCCCAGGTTCAAGTGTGGTCTCGGCCGCAGCGGCTGTAGTCCCAGATGCTGTCATGGTTGTCGCAGTGCTTACCTGGGGCGAAGCACGGCGCTTTTTGGGGTTGGGGGGAGAAAGCTGAGATTGGGGCATAGGAATGCCCTCGAATGAAGGCACTCTTTGAAATGGATTGACCTGCTGCGGAGCTAGCAGGTGCGATGGCGCGCTGGTCGATGGAGACGCCTTGACTCGTTTGGAGGTTGGAGGGGTTCTAGTTGAGTGTCAGGGAAAAAGCAGCAGAAGTTGAGATGGCGAATTGTGTTGAGGAACAGTGAACTGGGCCTCAGATGAAACAGTAATGACACAACATAAGTATATCAATCGAACGAGTAATAATCATCAACAAACGGGTAAACTCAAGGCCATTCAACTCTGCAAGTCACATGTAATGGACCGAAGAACGGAAAAAGTAAAAAAAAAAAAAAAGCACATGACACGAGGACTATATATACGGATGAAGAAGCCAAGGGCAGCTAAGTAGGGAAAGATCGTTGTTGCGCCGCACCACCGAAGCCTCTTTTTCCCTGAGAAGGGAAGGATGGGGAGGAACACTTACGACATGGTGGACGATGCGCAGTATTCCCAATCACGCTGCGTCGATTCATCTGTAAATACACATGCTTAAGAGATTAGCAATCCGCTACTCCAGAGTAGATTGGCCTGTCCAGTCCAGGGAAAGCAGCTCTTGGTTACACCGAAAAAACAATGACGATGACACGGGCGCATCCCTCGGTGTGGCAGTAGTGCTGCAGGATGTCAAGCACGTACGGCACGCACAGGAATGTGAAAGTGGCTGGGGGAGATTACGTGCATATGAATGCTCGGTGAGGTTGATGCTTGTACAGTATAGATGTGGGAGTTAATCGGAAAGAAAATGATCTGATATCAAACTCAACAGCGCGACCCGAAATGCAGCAAGTTGAGGGAGAAGGAAATCGGGGAAGTAGAATAACAACGAAGAAAAAAAACCAATAATAATATATAAACAGGCTTAGGCACAATCATTCGAAGACTTTTCTAGCATAGGAAGAGCTGGAGGTGGAGGAGTAGCAGTATGGGGATACAAAGGCTGGAAATAGTATGATAGAGGAGGAGTACTGGACGAGCGACGATAAGATGATCCGGTCAGAAGAAAAGAGTGGAGAGGAGCAATAGGCAGCATACGTACTGGTCAAAGTTCATGGCTGAGGAGGGACTCTTTTTCCTCAAGGGTTCGGGTCAAATCCAATAGAAGGAAACAAAGAGGTGAAGTTACATGGAATAGAGAAATAAATGATACACAAGTGAGAAAGAGAAGAGGTGAAGAGTGAGCTGAGAAGAAAATACTTTACTTGTACAGTAAGGTTCCTGTACAGTTACAGCTGAGGGGAAATCAAATTAATTCTGTACTAGAGAAAAGCACCCAATCCCGACGTCTCCGAGCTTTACTTGCTTTTTATAATAAATCATAATAATTATTCATTTATTTCTTTTTTCTTGCCTTTAACCCCTGTCTTTAATCCAGTCTGCAGGCAATCCCCAATAATAACATACCTCGACAAAAAAATAAAAATAAAAAAAAAGGCATTATAAAGAATCCTTCTATTGAGGTTCTATCCTAACGGTTTCCTTCAAACTAAAATTGTCAAGGGTACCAAAAACGGCGTATACACTAGACGCTTCAGTCTGCCAGATTCCTGTAGCATCAAATATACTGTAAACCTCCGGTCATTGTGCTATGGTCGAGACTTCATGACTTAGCTCAAATTACCAGCCACCAAAGCCCTCTATGTCAAACCCTAGGTCAAGGTGAATCTTCAGGTGACAAACTAGCGTTGTTGGACATCCAACAGGGTAATCTACAGGTATCAGTCTAGACAGAATTGTGTCAGTCCATAGAGCTTCATTTCATCACTTGTCTTTCTTTCCGGGCTAACCTGACAATGCTGCAGTTGTCCAGTTGGGGCCAAGCCGTCTGACATCGCCTGTCGTGAGGGGCTTTCTATCCAGTGTGCTCTGACCACCACCGACTACTACTAGGGCGACATTAATCCGTCTTACTTGGCAGACCAAAAAAACAAAAAAAAGGCAAATGAGTATGCTCATGGATAAGAATCAGGTTTGTTGTTTTTGAGTTTCTATCCTTTTTCGATCCTCATACTCGAAATTAACTATGGGAAGTGGGGTAACGCTCAACCATAAAATCAGTTAAGTATAGTTAATTGGTACCTGTGTGTCAACATGACATCTGCACCGTTAGATCGGTTCATAATGCAAGATTCTACTGTGTTTATCAACAATTTTATTCTCATTAGCATTTTTCTAAGTCCTCTTGTAAGAAATATTATATAAATAGAAGGTAGCCGTTGTTGTGTAGATATAGTCATAATCGGGTTCGTGCATGTATCATCTATATAAAGGGACGGAGTAGGGCAGAAGGGGCGCGTGATCCTGTTGGCATTAACTCGACTCAACTGATATCATTCCATAGCAAACTTCTCACGGGAGGAACAGATTTTGTTTATTGAGGATGCTTTCCAAATCCTCGGGTCTAACAACTCCTTCTATATACCCGTCCCTACGATCTCGAGTTAGTGGATAACGTAGTGATTTATCATATACAGCATAGGGGCAGTATACATATCCAGCATGCGATCAAAGGCCTTATTGACGTCATCACTGATAAGGATGGCTCACGTGATGTACACGCGGCCCCAGATCCGGTGGTGGACCCCAATGAGCTCAGCTCCCGTGCCTTCTGTGCTCTGAGATACTGAGATAAATGACACATCTGTAGGACAGAATCTCTCCGTGTCCTCTACGTGTTGACCGCCCTTTCTCCTGCCCTCTGCTCCCTTCTAGCACGGCTTCCCTTTGGCCACGTTGCCACTTTATTGGACTTTGGTTGTGGTCGCACATTCCAATCTGCGTTTACGAGGCAGCAATTGTACAACACGCGAAGCTTTCGAGTACTGTCCTGATAGCTTCGAGAAGGACGGGCGATCCCGAGGGAGTAGGTTTCTAAGTAGCACTCGGACTGTCTTGATGGCCATTGCTTGGATGGTGTCGTCATTCCTAACCTAGACATTGAACCCCTACTTACAAGCCATATACTTGAGACACCTTGCGTTGGTTGATTTGGATATCACAATACAATGGACCCAAAGTGGAACATTTTTCGCATATTGGGCGATCTCGCCCATATCTCTTCAAAATGCATCCTGCTGTGGGCCATCCATCGCAACAAGAGTGCGGAAGGTCTGTACGCTGCCCCTAGTTGTCGATAGGCATTATACTCACCTGCTACTTTTCATCGCAGGTGTTTCGCTTCTTACCCAGGTGCTATATATGGTAGTCTTTCTCAGTCGTTATCTCGAATTGTTCATAGGGAGAGGATGGGGGACCTTTTATCTCGTGTTTTTCAAGCTGTTTTACATCTTCTCTTCGGCATATATCATCTTTTTGATGATGAAGGTTTACCCCCGGACACGGGAAAGGGAGCGGGCATGGAAGCTGGCCTTAGGCTCTGCTGCGGCGTCTTTAGTGTTAGCACCGATCTTGATGCTAATATTCAGACATCCTTTGCCCCAGAGATGGTTCACGGAGGTGAGTTGACCTAGGGATATATCATTTGTTGGAGGCTAGACTAATGAAGTGGGGCCTGCGCCGTATTACTATATAGATTTGGTGGACATTTTCGATCGTCCTGGAATCCGTTTGCGTGCTCCCCCAATTACTGCTCCTACGCCAGACCACTGTCCCTACTGTCATCGACTCCTATTATCTCCTTACATTAGGCTCCTACCGGGCATTCTACATTCTGAACTGGCTGTATAGAGGATTTGCCTCACATTACTGGGATCCCATTTCAGATATTTTTGGCATCGTCCAGACCGCGTTCTACATCGACTTCGCTTGGGTCTACTATACACGACAGCGTGTAAAACTCCGCAACGGTGGCGTTGTAGACTCTGAGGATTTCCGGAACAGCTGGCTGGTCAACAAAGTGTTGAGTTTCAGGCAGCGACGGAGCGTCGATGAAGAACAGCACCTCCAGGATGAAGGAGCAGAAGCTGGACATGGAGCTGAGGGTGAGCGGCCGAGAAACAACCGCTGGGGTGCTCGAGGGATATCCATCTCAGCAGATGACACATTGAACGAGAGTCCCCACGCCAAACCCAGCAGCACAGGTGACGACCGGCTGGAGGGATTCCTGGAGGACGAAGAAGACGGTTGGGAAGAGCACGCGAACCAGCAAACACAGCACAAGCATTCTCCTGATGCGACGGACAATCAGAAGTGATCTACTGATTGATGATGGAGGGAGGAATTTTGCTTATAGAAGGCTTTCGTTGCGGGTTTTGACATGTGCGTTGGGATTTCTGGATTTATTTTGGGGGCTTGTGTCATCATGATTCCTACTCTTACAATCAAGTGAAACGACAATGAATTTTTGAAGCAGTAGCGATCGGCTAACATTCGATGTGAAACTGAAATTGGAATGACGGATACTATTTTTGGAATGGAATCAGCCCTGTCAGGGCCTTAGGGACCCTGATTTGATATCATTTTCAACGATAATCTGCATGGTCTGGGAGGGGATGATGACGGGAGGGGCGAAGTTGAAGAGAGAGCTCGATAATTGGAGAGTTTTGAAGGAAACTAAAATAAGAAATAGTAATAGCAAATAAGAACATCACCTAAAGTAAGTCTATCCGTCCTTGAAAAATCATTAATGAACAGCGAACGTGGAACCGTTGTTTCAAGAAATGCTCTGAGCCATGGCTGCGCCATTTCATAGCCACGGACCCCATGTCAAGGCCGTTGAGATTACATCCATGTTCGGTAAACAAAGGGAAGGGGGCCAAGTCGAAGTTAGAAGGGCAAAACTGCCTGATCAGCGGTTCGGAAGTCGGCTTTGGGGGTGGTAAATAGGTTCGCGAATCCCTGTTCCATACTATTGTTTAGTAAGGAAAGTACCGAGGGCAGCGTGCAAGCCGCAAACTGGTAACCTATCCTATGTTAATTTGAAATTCTTTTACATTAGCCCTTCCCTTTCCCGTTTTAGCCCCAATCCTGTGACATCACGTGCCCGCCCCGTCCCGTCACCCATGGAGATGCATCATTGCATATGTCCTTCGTCTGGATGGATGGAGAAAATTACACGACCATCAGCCTCCATATGCTGTGCTTGGGGGCCGGAGGAGAGAAGGAGGGGAAGAAACGCTGTGTGGTTCTTCATGATCATGGCGAGAAATTTTTCCCGTGATTGATCTGTTTAAGCGCTTGTGCCATCCCGACTCCCGAGATCCACCGCTGACGGTCTGGAAATGAGGGCTCAAAGCCAATCTCTCATCTCATCTGGCGCCTAACCATTTGATATCGTCGGAGACACGTGGCGCTGGTTGGATCATTTGGATGCACACCACCGGCAGGATTCTTGAGGATTACTACCTTATGCCTGAGAGTCTGGACAACAGAGTAACTTTGCTAGACATATTTCCTGAAAGAGTTGAACTGTCATCGTGGTGGTCAGAGCAATATCCCCAGTCCTGTCAATCCGCTAACTTTGACTAGTTCGTTCCTAATCCACCGGGGATTTGCAGCCGCAGCAACGAAGCAGCGCTTAATGACCCGCTTTGGTTCTTCCGGAGCAGCCCATCCATAAGCTTGGTCCGTTCTGTTGATGGAACTGGACCCTATGGGGTTATTCGGGCCTTAGTCGATGGAGCAAATGTTTCTATGTGTCTTGTGCCCTCCCCATTTCCATAGACTCCCTCGTTCCGGACTTTTTCCAGGTAAGGAATCCTGGTTGATGACCCTATTATTATTGGGGCTACACACTAGTAGCTTATCTATCAACTACTCCGGCCCTTTAGGCCTCCCCACTCGTGTAGTGACTAGAAGTCATAGAAGGGCGTTCGCTTGCATTGTGTCCAGGATATTTGTTTTTGATGATTTTTTATTTGTCAATGTATTGTTATTTTTTTTATTTTTATTTTTATTTTTTTTTAAATTTGATTTGATTTGATATCTTTCTTTTTTTTAATTTTTCTTTTGTTCTTTCCAAATGACCCTCCCTTTCAATTGAACCTGGCAAAGTCTGTTTATTATTACTAGTATTTGCTTGTGAGATCCAGCGCTAATTTCCCCCCGACCGTCCTTCTAATTCTAGGATACGGCGGGCCGCTAAGCACCGATCCCAGTCCTTTGCCATGATGTCCAACCCATGGTTTCCACCCCTGGAGATCCAGAGCACTGGGACTATGATCGCAGGTGCTGCCTTGCCATCGAACAGCCATGTGGGCCTTTGAAATGCAAAGTCTGCGCCCCCGAAAGTTTGGGGGCTGGAATTCTTCTCCCCATGTTATGTCAAAGGATGAGCCATGGCTTTTTTTTAAGACGCCAATGTTTTCTATCGGGATAAGTTGGCGCTTAAATGCGGGCTCATCGTCAAGTTTACACCTCTGGTTAAGAGCAACTTAGTGCGGCACAGCGTGGTGGGCGGTCTCTACACATCTCTTAGAGCTCTCTAGACCTGTTGACAGGGAAGAAAAAGTGTTCAAGAATTCTAGCCTGCCTCGCAAGGCAGCCCCCTCCTCTCGTTGTGCTGTTCCAAGGATATGAACTTGCATAACATTACCGTTATCACTTTGTTTCTTTTATCTATTTAATACAGCAGTCTCTCCTCAGCCGGGGTTTCAGTGTTGCGAAGGACGTTCACTTTCATTGGCTTTCCCAAAAAGCACTACTGCTTATATACTACCACCTCTGGCCCCAATAAATACATTGATTTCATTCTTTGCCGCTGTGGTTGTTGCTTCCTCTGTCGTTGTCTCATCAAACGTTTGATCCTCCCGCCGCTACATATTGCTGGTCCTCCTATCGGCTTGCTCCATGTTCCCTCGGACTCCAGGCGACTATACCGGGCCAACGCCGTATGGACCAGCTGGTCCTCACCCCGAAGAAGGAATGGATAACTTCTATGAGACGTATCAAGCTCCATGGCCCGGAGTTGAAGCTGTACGTGCGAACTTGATGCCCACGCAGAGACGTCATATACTGACAAGCTCCGGTACTCCACAGTCCCCCTATGGAGGCGTCCACCACCCTTACAATACCACGGCAGCCTTTCCGTCCCATGCCATTTTAACGCCAATTAGTCTTCCTGACAGCTCTTTTGCCCATGCCCGACCTGACTCGGTTCTCAGCCATCATTCGCAAGAATATGCGTACTGCATGGCTGAATCTGTCCCCTCACATGGACTGGGAATCACCGCGCCCTTTCCAAGTGACTTCCCGCGAACTGTAACCGCTGGTCTAGGCCCTGTTCCCGACCCGGATTATGTCTTCAGTGGAGCCGCCCTGTCACCTCCACCACCTCCCGTTAAGCGGACCCGGCGAAGTCCTAAACCAACGGTGGCAGCTCGCGAAGGACCAGTCACCATCCTACCTCATCCGGAAGGTCTTCAACGACTAGAGCAGGAACGCCGGCGCGAGCAAGTCGACCCTCAGTCACACCAACGACCTCGAGCCCCCGGCCGAGGGCGACGAGACCCGCAAGCCGAAGAAGAAGATGCATTTGTTGAACGATTGCGGGAACAGAACCTGGCGTGGAAGCACATCCGGGAGATGTTTCGGGAGAAGTTCAACAAGGACGCATCGGAGGCCCGCCTACAGATGCGGATGCTGCGCAGGCGCAAGGACCGCTCGGCTCGGTGGGAAGAGAGCGATGTGAGTACGTACATCGCACCCACCTCCTCATCTTTGCCCACTGCTAATAACCAGGTCGTCTAGGTTCGATTGCTCATAAGGGCTAGAGATTACTGGGAGAGGGAAAAGTATAATTTAATAGCACAAAAGGTGAGGTCTCCTACGCCGACAGTGAGTGGCATTGGTAACCTGCCTGCTAACCATCAAGGCATTAGATGCATGAGCTAGGGGCGAAGAGATCTTACACCGCACAACAATGCGAAGCACAACTACGGTATCTAGATTCACGTCGTGAGGGTGACCCCTCACTGACACGAATAGTGGATGCGCGAAGACGAGCTACGATGAAATCCCCTCGAGGAATTGTCCGCGTGACGAGTGCCTAGTCGTTCTCCACGTCCTCTTTCACCTATTGTTGCGTTCTTTCTCTCTACGATGGCCCTTTTTTCTTAGATCCTATTCACCCCTGACCAGCGTGGGTTTACTAGCAAGGACGGAGTTTTGATAACGAGATTAATGCATGACCAGCTAGCGTTTGTTTGATGCCCTCTGTTTCATTCCTTTATTATCATTATTATTATTATGATTATCTCCCCCTTCAAATCGTTGACCTGTTAGTCCCGACATCTTGTCTCAGATACCGGAGATATACCCTGATTGAACCACCGAATGAAAAGTATCACTATTCCAAAAATCTCCAGGAAGCTAAAACGCCGAAGTTCCCCAGTAATCTGGGAATCGTAATCAAAGAACGGTCCCACCATGACAAAGAGAAGTCAACCGCTCCAGAAACCAGGATTTCAAATTAGCAAAAAAAAAAAAAAACGTTACACTTCGCCTGCACAGCTCCAGTCCGTTCATCCGCAGGGACAAACAGC